TTTTGTGTTAACAGGATGTGACATGAGACCAAAACTTATTGCAATATATATACTAGTGTTATTTTGTATAATTATTTACTACTATAGTATTCATTAAAATTTAAAATTAGATTTTACTTTTAGATTTTAATTTGAGTTTGTTTTAGTTATTTTGTAATGCTCTTTTTGTCTTTTTTTCTATTTAGCTTTAATTTTATTATTTTTTTTTTTTCAGGTTTGGTGTTAGCAATTTTAGCATTCAGCTTTTTTAAGTTAGTTGCCAAGGCAACATTTAGAATTTAAATTTTTTGAAGTTTATATAATATTTGTATTTCATTTCAGTTTTATTGCAATTACCAAAAATGATCTTTTTATTAGATTTAGTTTTAGTTAATAATTAACAATAACAACACTGATATATACTTAAATCATACTCACAGGCTCACCTTGGGGCCCCACTGGCCCCATGGGTCCTCTTTGAATGCGATACATATTCCCATCAGAGCCACGCACAAGATCTCCATGCCTTTCTGTAAATATAACGGTTCCTGGGTGCTCCTCAGATCCCCAGCCAGGTCCTATAGGGATATCTGGAGTTTTTAATGTTTTTCTTCCACTTCCCTTTGAGATGCCCTCCCAAGAAGTTTTTCTCACAGGAGCCTGTGTGGTGACCCCCAAATCCTCTTTTAACAAGTTGGATTCTCGATCCTCAGGACTGGAGGTGGTTTCCAGTTCAGTTTCACTACTAGGTACAATACTTCCGGTAGGTTTCTCGGGTATCTGAACATCCAGGTTGATGATTATGGTATCCACTGGTTTCTTTGGTGAAGTTTTGCCAGGTTTGTGCTTGTCAGTGGTGATGTTTTCATCTAAACGTTTGGATGTGGAGTCTGGCTTTCCATCACGGCTGCCTGTAGTTTCAGTTGGGAAAGTTTTGGAAGGTTTACCACCATTTTTGGACAAGATGTTTTGGTCTACCAGGTCTGTATCCTCATCCACCTCAAACACATCACCTCGCCCCACAAAGCCAGGACGTTTGGATCCAGTAGGCAGAGTACCGTCTCCACGTATAATCCCACGTCTATTGAGACCCTATTAACAAAAAGAAATTACTTCATGTGTACCAAAAATTGATTGGAAGCTATTATTCAATTCTGTTTGTTATTTTTCTTTTACATCTGGGAGCTTTATGTTCACTATAATATGTTTAGTGAAGATGTAATCACTTCATCATAATGTCTAATTTACCGTGAGAATGTTTATGCGACTTGATTAAAGCTTTAATCTCCATTTTTACATATGGTTGTGAAGTTGCTGCTGCTAACAGATGTTAAGGTAAATACAAGAGTGCAATAATTCCAGGCAGAAAAACAACAATAATTTAAACTAAGCATCTTGTAGCAATCAACAATGATCTACTGAGATCTGACATCATGTAAAGATCAGATGTGCATGAGTTACATGCATGGCTCACACATTTGTACCACTCCAAACAAAGCTAAAGTTAAAGAGTCAAAACAGTGACACAAAACACTCATGCTAATAATATGCAAACCAATGTCACGCACGCATGCACACACGCACACAGGGTACATTTTGAGACAAAGTCAATGAATTCTAAAGAAAGAGACAAAAAATAATGACAAAGAATAGTGGTCTGGATTCCATATGATCTGGCTTGGTTCTGAATGATGAGAAGGGAAATGAAAAACAGCCTTTTCTCTGTGATAAAACATCCACATCATAGTGTCAAAGGCAGAGGATTGTTGCTGCATATCAAAATGACATCATACAAAACTGAAACATGTGTCTCTTTTTAAAATCTGATGTGATTCTGTCTAGTTTCCCTATTTGCATGAAGTCTAAGCTAGACGTTTCAGTAATGTGACTTCTGTAGGACAATACGAGTGCTTCAGTTCTCTTGATGACATCTGCAAGGTTTACAAGTACATAAACTAAAAATAAGAGACTTTAGAGTCATGGAAATTTATACATTAAGCTATTCTGCACAATTATTACTATACTGCTTTGGGTTGCCAGGTTGGTCTATTTCATGACTTCCAGGGGGGGAAAAATACATTTTTAAATATAAATAAACAAATGTGTATGTGTGTGTGTGTGGTGTGTAGAAATATACATTATTATAATATCATATATATACTGTAATATAATGTTATGGCATCAGACCACAGCCTGAAAAAATCAGATGGAAAAACCTTCATACAAAGAAAACCTGGGTAAAATCAGACCCCCTTGCCCTAATACCATCACTAACAATGGCTCTTTCTGTAGCCATGGGCTGATAAACTGACACTTGATCTCCACCTGGCAACGAAGGGCTGTCGTCCAGTTTATCTTCCTGCTGTTGGTCTGATATCCGTCTAATAGCCTGCCAAAGAGGGTCTGAACACATGGACTCACATTAAGTGCGCAGTTCCCCAGCAAAGAGCAGCTTCCACCCCAGCTCTAGCTATAACACCATTTGGCCACCAGGTGGCTTCCTGTTACAAGGACCAACATGAAAATATCTGTAACATCACTGCTGCAGGGGTTTGTCCTTAATTAGTGACCAGATGCTTTTGTTTGTTCTTTTGTAATTTTGGAAAAAAGGCTGAACCTGATCAAAAGCAAAGAAAAAAAAATCTTTCTTTTGCTTTTTTGTGACAAGATTAGGCAATCTATAAATATCAGTTTGACTATTATGTATAATTCAGATCAATGATCACTTCAAAAATTAATGTTCCCAGATTTGTCGCTGTGATGTGCACATGATGTACAATCTTGCTGTTATTTAAGGTCTGTTACAGAAAAGACTGAACACAGTTTAGACAGAACAGTGAAAAGGGCCAGATGACAGATCAATGGGAGAGGTAAAGGTTTCCTAAAAAAACAAAAGTGTTATGCCTCTAGGCTTCAGATACATTATTTACACACGCATCTACATGCCAGCTAACCACCACCAGTACTAAAATGTAAACTTAAAAAAAAAAAAACTTGCCTATTATCATACCTAATTTCTGAAAGGTACTGTCTTGGTCTGTAAATACTGTATGCAAGTGGAAAGTCTAAAAAAAAGTGGTCGAGTACATACACACAATTACGCACACACATAAGTCAGTATGAAAAAAGCTGATTTGACTTGAAAGACAGCGACTATCTGTAAATCTATCACAGAGACACAGGTATTTATATGGGCAACGACAAACTAGCCATATCTTGCACTTAAACTGATTTAAATACAGCTTCCTGCAAAACGTTTTTCATAGATTGATGTCCTAGATTAATACATTTAAACTAAACAAATTTAATAAAGATGGTTAGACACAAAAAACAAAATTACGTAAGAAAACACCAATCACATCTGCAGAAATAACTGAATTAATTCTCAGTCTCATCCATTATGTTATTTTGGTCTTGTCATAAAACTGTTGCCACAGTTGTTTTTCTGCCACCGAGGGTTTTTAAATACAATGTCAGGCTGGGAATTCAATTTAGCTCTGTGCATTATAATAATATAAAAAAAAATCCTATAAAGAACAGTGGCTATCATACAGTGTACTAAAATAAGCATCACAAAAAAAAACTGAGAGAAATGCAAAAAATCAGCTACAAAATTATAAAATACTGCACAACCAATAAATGTCAAATATAGTAAAAAACTGCACCCTGACACTGGACATGAACCCAGCGTTTGTGGTAATCTGGGTCGAACCAGAATAGTGAAAACGATTTCCCTCATATAAACCGAAGCCACTGTAACCTCTCACATCTGCAGCCAAACCAGTCAGCCTTCAAGAGAGATGGAATAACACTTGATTACACGCACATGACTTATTTTTCAGCACGAATATTTATACACATACTACAATCCATAAAAAAAATCTAATCAAAGTGGAGCTTCATAAACTATTGGATTAGCGTGCACCACCAAACCCACATGTCATTATTAGATAGGGGAAGTGGATGCATGATTTGTAAGAACAATTTTCCCAAACAAACACATTTCGGAAGGGTTGCCAGATGAAGCCATACCTTTGGAATGTGATTCCTCTGACCTTGCACTCCAAATTTCATTAAATCCAACAGAAACCATCTTAGCAAACACATCCAGATCCTCATGGTGACACACACACATACACTCACACATACAACACCTGCAACAAAAATTCAGTCAAACTCACAGTCAAGACTAGCCAAATACGTGCCAAACACACTAGCACACCCCCAAACTCTCAATCCACCCACATACACAGAGATTACATGCGCACACACACATTTCATCTACTTCACACAATGAGACACCTGTTTGACTATGTGGCTTCGGGGTGAACTGAGCGGGTGTATGTGTCAGCCTGTGCTCTTGTCTTTGTGAGCTTGTAGTGTCCAGATACAAGTACTTACATGGATGCCTAGGTGGAACAGAATTAATTTATAGAAACAGTGTGGTTTATACAATAACGCTCTGCTAATAAGGACAAATTGACCGATGGGAAATTCAAACACTGTCCACATGCAGACACATTTTTGGCAACATCTGACAGAATTCACCAGTAACAGCTTTCTTGACAGCTTTCTGAGATCCTGCTGATGTGAATTGTGTGCAAGTGGAGAGGAAAAAACACTTGCAGTATTCTGAATCAAAGAGAAGATCCTAAATCAAAGAGGGGGCCATCCACACCCTCAACTCATAACACAGAAAGCACTGTGGAGAGTCCTTATGGAGACAATCCATGGAGATTTGTCACAAGAGTCCTTCCCCAATAACAGATAATTGCTTCCAGAAATTTCCAGTCAGTTCTGGATTTGTAGGAGCCTGATGAGAGTTGACAAGTCTATCTATCTATCTGTCTTATCTATATTTAGCTACCTATCTATATCTATCTAGCTACATCTACCTAGATACATTCGTCCATCCATCCATCCATCCATCCATCCATCCATCCATAACGGGAAAGAGTAATATTTATGCATGGTAAAGTCACTTTGCATTCACTGCATGTGATTTATTGTGGGTTTGGGGGTGGACAGCACTAAATGACGGTCTCAGAACACATAATTACAGTCGGTGGTGCTGGAGCTGAGGGCACCAGCAATAGTCTGTGACTACCGAGGATAGAAAGGCAGTAAGGAAGAGAGCAGGCGTGATATAGACCTCTGCACAATGACGTATAATTATGGAGTTTTCAGTAAACCATCATGCACACCAAAAAGGGAAAAATGCCTTAACAGCTGAATGTCACATAATCACATGCTTGTTCCTCTTGTTTATTGTCATTGTGACATCCAAATGGGACACAATATTTTGCACGTGTATAAATAGATATTAACTTAACTACAAACACATTTATATTTGTTGTACTAAACAACTGACAGCTGCTGCGGGGAAACAGATCAATCTGAATAGATCAAACAGATTGTTTTATGGATGGTATTCTCAGCAGCTGTCTTAACCAAAACCTATGATTCAGCTTGTAAAAACTTTTTAGAGCTTAAATATAATTTGCATTCACATTTCTAGGCTGAAAAAGTTTTAAAAGAATTCTATTTATTTAAACCGACTTTGTCTCACGCGGCCATTGATAAATCTATCATACAATCGAGTCATAAATATATTTCTGCTATTGGATATTAAACTACATTACTTTTCAACCCATCAGTGGAATCCTTGGCACACTCCAATTATCTTACTATGAGATCATTATGAATCTGACATGTCTGAAAGAGATGCTTCTCAGTTCAATGCGTCAGTGCTGTTGTAATTTGCTGACAGGGATTTTTTTTAAAAGCTTGAGACATGGAAAAGGCATGCACTGTAAGCTACATAAAGAAAATAAATGAGAAGACAACTCATTGCTTCAATTATTTCTAAGATGACAGATGTGTTCATAGGCTCATCATCTTAAGTAGTTTTTTTTAATACAAGGATGCAAGGCGACTGTTCTATGAGCTTACCTCAATCCATGCATGTACGTCAGTATGCATGTGTAAACATCTTTGCAAAGTCTTGCTCATCAAAAAGTGAGGCAAGAGGCTTGGAAGGAAAGAAAAACAGGAACCTACAATACTGTTCAAAAGATGGGGGTTAGTAAAAAAAATTCATGTTTTTCATGTCTGCTTTGCACACAAAGGCTGCATTTATTTGATCAAAAACAGTAATATTGTGAAAGATCATTATAATTTAAAATAACTGTATTCTATTTAAATATATTTCAAAAATGTCATTCCTGTGATGGCAAAGCTGAATTTTCAAGCAGCCAGATATGCTGATTTCATGCTCAAAAAATATTTCTTAGTTTGATTAACAAAGTTCAAAAGAAAAGTGTTTATTTGAAATAGAAATCTCTTCTAACAAATTTCTTTACAGTCACTTTTAATGCATTCTTGCTCAATTAAAATGATTAATTTCTATTTTTAATAATCTTACTGACCCTAAACTTTTGAACAGCATTGTACTGTATTTCAATATCAATGAATCAGTAAAACAATGACAATTTTAGGTCTGAAAGTGTCCGAATGGCTCACCTGGGTGTGATGTAACAACTTAGCCTTTAATTCAAATCCCTGCCTTCTCAAGAGCCATTAATAATAAACCTTATGGCAGAAAATAACCAAGATGATAGAACGGACAAAATGCACTCAACCTACTCTTTGGTCTTTGTCCCTGAAATGATGAAGAAGAGGTGAGAAATTTAGCAGTTCAGGTTCTTTGTAAACGTCTTGTACAAACAACATTTCCAAAGTGTTTGTTTTAAGGATAGTTGGAAATGTCTCATGCATGTCCACACTTTTGCCAATAAACAAATAAAGAACCTACATAGATCTCACATTTCTTACATTACACTCACAGGGAGAGTGAGTTCAAAGGCACGTCTGGAGATGTTGAATGCTTCACAGCCTGTCTGAGTAATTCTGACATTTACCTAGAGGAGTTCTCCGTCCAACTCAAACCTAATTTTAGTGCAGAGGAAATCAATTACAGGCTTGTGCCCACCTCTGCCAAATGAAACCCATGGGAAGAACGAGGCTATTTCTAAACACACCAACACCACTTTTAAACATATATAATGCCCCTGCAGACTGAGGAGAGCAACAGAGACAGACACAAACATAAATGCATTATAAACTCTGACGATCACACACACATCCCCCAGAGGGTCAAGCAAACATAAAAGTAACACATAAAACCCCATATCTCAACAGATCTTGAGCCATGATGCCTGTATAATTAAATTGCCAAAAAAATCCCTAATAATAATAATAATAATAATGATTTGAGGTATCATTCATTTAACAAGCAATATTGGACAAGGTACACACATATACATATCTCAGTTGGTCAAGTCTCTCAACTGGTCATCTAACCCAAAAATATGCATACATACACACATCCAACTAAACATTCATGACTTTGGCCTCAAAGCTGTGACACTGAAAATGAGTGACAAGCTAAATTAGTGATTACCTTTGACCTCTGACCTCCTGTTGGGTTAAAGGGATCAAAGAAAGCCATAAGTCTCTTATTAATCTGTTCCACTGGGAGCATGAGTGCAGGAAACTGGCAAACCAAAAATGGAGCATCAAAGTGAAATACCACAACAAAAGATCTTAGTCAAGAGGTTATGCCACAAGAGAGACCGAAACTGGAGAAATAAAACAGGTATTTAAAAAAAAAAATCTGGTTCTCTTTAGTCTTTGAAATCCACCACCTTTTTGACATAACATAATGGAGTCCAGGTGATTGATTGAGGCACTAGATGTTTTAAACATGCTATGGTACGTTCTGCACGAATGAACCATTTGGTTTTGAATCGAATGGAATATGGAGTCCGTTGATATTCATATCTGCAGTTTCTAAGCCCACAAAAACCATGAATCCATTGGCCAAACAGCTCACAGCTGCCAAACACACATGGACTGACTGGGCTGCTATAGCTCAGCAACACCACACACAACCTTTATTTGGCTTAAGAAAATACAAAAAAAAAAAAAAAGATTTGGAAAGCCTATTTGGGTTTGATATATGATCACAGGTTCACAGTATGTTGGAAGACTTTAAGACTTTGATTTTGTACATATAAAAACCGTAGATTAGACATTAATTTACTATCAGCCTGACAGGAAAGGTGTGCAAATACAAATACAGCTTCTAACGAGGTTTAAAATAAAATATGTTGAGTGGTAATATAAATTGACAGTTCACATGTAATGCTTGAGGCCACAATTTCAAGCAGTTGTATCCACATCAAACATGCAATATGATTCTCAAAACGTGGTGCTTTTCAGCATTAGACAAATAGTAAAAACAACTCTGTGGAGGTAACTATAGAAATAAACTTGCTGAGATATAGTATGCATACTATTTGAGTTACAAGAAAGCAAGACATGATCTGCCCAAAGCAGACAGGATTGAGCAATTCCTTATCCAATTTGTTTTTAAAACTCTAGGGGAATACCAATATAAATATTTTAATAGTATGTTTAGGATGTTTGATCTTTTGCTAGGTAATTTAATGTTAATTTAATGAATATTTAAAGAGTTACTTTACCAAAAAATGTGTCATCATTTACCTCATATAGCGCCCAAAATTAGCAAAAAGCAACATAAATATACCATAAAAGTTGTCAATAAGACTCGTCTGCTATATTCCTATTGCTATATACAGTCTTCTGAAGTTCTATAAAGCTTTTAGTGATGAAGTGTATAAACAGACAACTTTTAAGGTACTTCTTTGTCATTTTTAAAAGTGTGAGAGTCCTCTTTTCTTCTTTTTTTTGTGATATAAAAAAGACCACTATGGACATTCTGCAATATGTCTTCTTGTATGTTTAACAGGTCATTTGGGTTTGGAATGGCATGAGGGTGAGTAAATAACAGCATTTTCATTTATTGGGTGAACTATGAATTTTACTTCATATGACAAGTAACTTGCTTGTCATATGTTGTTTTAAGTATTGCTACTTACAGTCAGTTTTGCACGAGAATAGACACTGTCCTCTGCTGACTCTAATAAGTCCTCCAGGTCATTTGAGGACAGCAGAAGTTCCTGGACAGGGAAAGGGAAAAGATGACTGATGAAAAGATGGTGTATGTAGATACTGTAGAACTCTTGAAAGATGTACAGTATATTGAGATAGGAAATTAAATGTAGAGTGCACAATATTAGCACACACAATATTATAAACACACACAATAGTATAAACACACTTATATAAACCCATATATTTTGTTGTTTAAGTCATGGTGAATTCGTCGGCCACTTGGTAGAAACTCGTCTAACTCAGAAGACATCAGTGTGGGTAGGTTGAATGACATTCCCTGTACAGTATGGCTCGCTTACCTCTTCAGTGTGTATGCGAGGAGAGCGAGGTGGTTTGTGTCCGGTTCCGCCACACTGGGATTGGAAAACGGCACACTGATCTCGAGCTGCATCTGGTTCTCCCATCAGAAAGGCCACTTGCATCAGATCACCCTAAAGAAATGAGGCAAATTGAACTATTACACCTATACAGATACATACATACAACCCATACAGCCACACAGTGCATACATGCATGCCTGCTTACAGATACACACACACACACAAATACATAAGCATACACGCTTTTATTAGCAGTTCATTTTAGACATAAATACATATGAATCAATAAATGCTTGGAGTCTAGATGACAGTCCAGCAATCTGTTAAACTTATAATAAAATGATGTTTGTTACGATTATGAAGTGTTGCCTATAGAAGTCGGGAAAATGCAAACCCTGATCATGTGACCACACGACTGAGTTCAGTGTGATGTTTGGAGTCTATGATGTCATTTTCTGAGACTCAGCTTAGACTTCATGCTATATTAACTTTCCCCGTCTAACACAACCAAAAAAGGGCATTTAACTTGTGCACAGCTGTCTAAACTATACTCCTACTTCCATTAAAATTCCTGTCCCTTCAGCATAACACAGGCATTTAATTTGACATCCATTTTACAAGGCCAAAATAATCTTCCAAAATGCCTCTTTTACCCCCAACCTGATGTGGATCTGTTGTTATAATCTGTAATCCATGGCCATGTATATACCCCAGCAACAAACATTTTACATTTCCTGCCACTCATTTTTCGTTGATCATTTATATGTCAAACAGGTTAAACTGGCATCTAAGATGGCATATATGTTTCTTGTTTATAGGGGGAACACCAAAATGTTAAAATGTCAACAATCACGTGTTTAGGGTTGTAGAAGTGACTCCTTAACTCTGTACACAGAAGGAGCAACAAATTAAAGGAATAGTTCACCCAAGAATGAAAATTTGTTGAAAATGTACTTACCCTTAGGCCATCCAAGATGTAGATGTTTTTTTTTTCCTTCATCGGAACAGATCTGGAGAAATTTAGCATTACATCACTTGCTCACCAATGGATCCTCTGCAGTGAATGGGTGACGGCACCCATTCACAAGTCATGTAATGCTGTATTTCTCCAAATTGCTGAAGAAATAAACTCTTGGATTGAAATTTAAATTTTTGGGTGAACTATTGGGTGGTCTTGTAAATAAATGTTTAGGATGGGAAATGCCTTGTGTTATGCCATGCAATTTTTGTAAACCAACAAATCATACTCTTGTTCAATTTTGCATCCAATATTATTTATGTAAGAACCCATGCTGGCAGTTTGTAACAGATAGTTGCACATAAAAAATATAAAATCTCTATCCGCTTGTCAGCAACAGAATGTCCAATCCATTTGGAATCTTGGATGAGTATAAACGCAGATGTTCAGCTTGGGGTATAGTAACTCCTATACACAGAGAGCCCCTCATCCTCCATAAATCTGACTTTGGGTTTAAATGCCAACTGGGAACGTTTTGGAGATTTACAGTATTCACAGTATGTGTTGATGAAGGATACACTTTTCTCATCACACAGTAAGTGATGGGTACTACAACCTTGCATGTTTAGACCTCATAAAACAAAATGTTGTTTTACATACTGACCTCAAAAGGTGTCTCAAAACCCTCAATGATTCCACCAACCATAACCAGGCCATCAGTGGAGATTCCCAAACCGTCCTTATATGCCCAGTCCACGCTCTCAACCATGGAGCAATCCACATACAACGCCAAGCGGCCCGAGGAGACACTGACCGCCATGCGGTGCCAACCCCCATCAGACAGCACTGCCACGGGGAACCTGGGAATGACACGACGGGTTTTGAAAAATAAACTACTTTATTTAGTTTCCTTGACAGGGTGGGCTGATCAAATCACATGCTAAAGCATCGGAGAACAGGGAGAGTCGGGAGAACCCAAGGAAAGCAAAATCCATTAAATTTCCTGGCAAAACATTCAGAGCCATAATGCTTCCTGTCTGTGTAATGACAAATTACTTTTTTTTTTTGGTATATGCAAGCTTAAACTAAACAGAAACCCATATGAGAACACAGCAAGAACATTATGGCATTGTTATGTCATCTCATAATAAATGAGAATCACAAACAAGTAAAATGTGAGCGTAAAATTTCCATTTATTTTGTCCTAATTACCAGGTGGGTAATTAGGCGACAGGTCCAAATATTAGTTTTGAGAGGCCATGAGTTAAATCCCATGCCTCATTTACACATCTCGACTGTAAGGCTTGGCTTAAATTTAAGCCAAATCCAGAAATCTTGGTTTAATATATCACAGAGCTCCTCAACACAGAGGGGTCTGTGCTTATGTTTAAAATGAACCCTTGGCCAAAACTAATACTTTCATAAGAATGAGACGACGATGAGGATGGCTTTGTCATCATGGAAGAGGAACAAAGAAAGTCAATGACATTCAAAAGCAAGCAACAGAAAATAATAGAGGGATTAAACAGGCTGTGGTTTCATAACAGGATTCACTGAGATGTGCCTTTTTAATGATCTTTTTCCTGCCAAGATGACAGCGTTGGAACCAAAGTATGAACCACAAAATAATGAAGACCACCAAGTAATTTGAGTTTTCAGATGGCTCCCTGTTAATCCCCATTTAAGAATAATTTAACAAATAAAATAAAATAGAGGAAAAGAAAAGAAAACCGAAGACTCACTCATAGTGTCGTTGTTGGGTGCTGATGAAGGTAAAGGTGTAGGCACTAATACGAATCTGCAGGAGAATGTGTCCGTCTGGGCAGAGGAAGGTCAGCACACTGCAGTCTTCAGACTGGGAGCTACGCAGATGCAACAGCAAACTGAACTCATCACCAAACCTGAGAAAGAAATTAGAGAGAAAGGCTAAGAAAGACATGCCTACATTGACTTTAAGAAATAATATTATATATAAAATGAAAATAAATGAATAAATTCAAGTTTCATAACATCAGTTACAAAGTGGTTTTGAGGTTATTCTCGCAAGGACACAACATTTTTATATTGTCTATGTACATGCATTAAGGTTGATGCACATACAAACCAAGTTTGCAGTGTCTAAACAGAAAAACATAATAAAATGAAAAAATAAAAATGTCAGCGGACAATAAGTGTGTGTACCTGTGTCCAAACACCTGTCGTAGTGGTATAGAGAGGGTGGAGTACTGGCCTACATGCAGGACTGGACATCTTTGGCTTTCCTGTGTTACTGATGCATTGCTGCGATTAGCCACCTGCCACAGATGATCAAGAAGGTCTATTGGTTCTGTCAAACAAGAGGAAAAAAATGTTAGGCCCATTAAACACATTTTTAACAAAACCTTTTTTTCCTGAAAGACAGGAGGCTGGGCAAGTCCCAGGAGGACTAGGTCTAACCAAGATTGCAAAATGGATCCCAGAAACATCTGTTTTGTATATCTCAGCAGGTACAGATGAAAACCGCGCCTGTAAACAAAAGGCTCTGTTGTCTAGATGCATTTTTGCAGTATTAATCATTAGCTCTGTTGAGGTCTTAGCAACTCTGAGGCAAGTCTGTGTGAGAGCAGTCACTTAGGAAATCAGTTCACTGTATGGAGAAACAGACCTGTTCAGCCCTTTCATTAGACATTTAGAGGGTCATAACAAGTCAGCTGGTCTTAAAAGGTGCAGTCATACCCCCATAATGCCCACCCTTGTGTTCCCTCTTTAACATACTCATTTCCTGTGGGTGCTGAATTACTTAATTTACAGAGTATACGGTGTGTTTGCTAATGTTTATGTGCGTGCACATATCTATTGCCCCCAGGTTGCAGGCTTGTGTTTTAGTGTGCAGCATTGTGCAAAATGAGACAAATAAATCTTGCTGAATGCTGCATTTAATCAAATGAGAGAGAGAGAGAGAGAGAGAGAGAGAGAGAGAGAGATACGCAGAAAGCACAATTTGTAATGAGCAGATCTGAAACACACCTGGCAGAGCAGCCAGTTTACACCGTGAGAACTGATCCATCACCATAGGCTTTGGATTGGAGTGCAGACTTCATTTACAAGAAATTCATGTCTAAAATACAGTGTTATGGCTGATAAACAATAAATAGCAAATATTAAAATTTATAGTGTGAGGTCAGTTTTTTGAAAAAAAAAATATATTACCCATTATTTATTTGATCAAAAATACAGTAAAACAGTAATATTGTTAAATATAATCAAGTAATTCTTTACAAACCATTCTAATATGCTGATTTGGTGCTCAAGAAACGTTTCTTATAATCAATGTTGAAAACAGCTGTGCAGCTTCATATTTTTGTGGAAACATGATACATATTTTCTAGATTCTTTGATGAATAGGAAGTTCAACAGAACAGCATTTATTTAAAAATAAACCTTTTATAACATTATAAATGCCTTTACTGTCACTTTTGATCAATTGAATGCATTCTTGATGAAAAAGTGAAGCGAAGTGAAAGTGACGTGTTGCCAAGTATGGTGTCGCACACTCAGAATTTGTGCTCTGCATTTAACCCATCCAAGTGCGCACACACACACACAGCAGTGAGTAGTGAACAAACACACACACCGTGAACACACGGTGGGCAGCCAATGCTGCGGCGCCAGGGGAGCAGTTGGGGGTTCGGTGCCTTGCTCAAGGGTCTCTCCTCAGTCGTGGTATTAAAGGTGGAAGAGAGCGCTGTACATTCACTCCCCCCCACCTACAATCCCTGCCAGTACTGAGATTGAACCCGCGACCTTTGGGTTACACTGCATTACACTGCTTTCGGGAGAACTGCACCAGGACTGCAAGCCTTTTTCCAGGAACATGTAATTGCTCCAACAGGATTACACATTCCCCTTACTCTCCCTTGGTCTCATAGTAAACACATTCCAAAGTGCTCAAATCTTTCACCAGATCAATTTCTCGCATATGAAATTTCGGTAATTCTTACAAAAATTTTCTTTAAATATAAATATATTCTTTTTGCAGCAATATAACAGTTCTAAATGGACAGCTAGATTCTACATACCGCTCCTGCCAATTTCATGGTGGTTGTCACATTATTTATGGCTATTAGTCAAGCAGTATAGGTCACACAGTTTCATGCTGGAAACATATGCAGACCCCTATCTGTGACACAGACTAAAATACACCTCTCAAAACACTATGATTGTTTCTGAACCATTAGCCAACAATATTACCCCATACAAGCTATCCAATGGAAATTTTTACCGATATTCTGGGAGAATTTGGCTTACTTCCTGTCCTTACAATAATATATCAACAAACTAAGTCTGCTGGCTGAAAACAAAAGAAGTGATTTTCAGGTTAAAACCTGCTCTAGACTAACAAAAAGATCCATAAATACTGTGGATATGACATCACACTCACATCAAAGCTCAGATGATGTGGAGTTCAGTCCAGATGTGGAGATGTTGTCATCTTAAATTACATTGGAATAAAAGGTCTTACAAGGATGTTCCACTAATTTAAATGATAAACTAGAGATGTGGTCAGAGAGAAATTTGCTTGTGAAGCATCATGGCAACATGGTATCATTTATCAAAAAAACTCTGAAAAAGAAAGAAAAACATGGAGGAGAAGAGAGAACAAAGGGGATTAGAGAAAGGATACACTCCTCGCTTTCAGGAAAGGTTAAGGTTAAACAGCTCTAACCCAAGTTCACTCCAGAAAAATGACTGATGCATTTCCCCTCAGTTTCCGACGACACAGAAATGACAACACATAGAAAAAAAACCCAACAACAACAAACCAGGAAGGAATATGCCAGAAACAATGTGATGGAAAGATAATTTGAAGGCAGATGAATTAGTTGTTCTGCCCTGGTAGTAAAGTCTGCACCCCTCTCACAACTATTCCATAATGGTTTGTAGTGGTTAGAAGAATCCGTCAGTAGACTAATTTGAAACGAGATGCTGCAGGAGGATTGACCTAAAGAATAAAAGCAAAGCCCTTACAGTCAAGCCATAAATTCATGAGCCACGGACAGCTTAGAGTTTAAAAGCACATGGAATGATAAGCCTGATGCAAAACAGTAACCTTTACATAAGAATGTGAAATAAATAATGTCCCACTGCAAGCATTTAAATTCACATGAGTAAAATACCAAAAGGATGAAACCCAAAAGCTTTAAGTATGGCATATTTAAAGCAAAGGCTTTAAGTACAGCATATTTCTGCAGAAAAGCTTAAATTGGAAAATTCAAGATTCCTGTATACAAAAAGTAGCACATGGTTAAATATGAATGAAGTAAAGCATCTTTCTCAGCATATTCTGTGAAAGCAGGTTAGTTTTGCTCCTAAGAGCCCAATACACAGTGCCAGATGTGGATGTCAGTATCGCGTGGGAGGTGTGTTCAGACACCGCATAACACTGGCACTCAGGGACTGTGTTGGTGGATCACATGTGCAGACACTAAATAAAATCCAGAATTAGCCACAAGTTACGTCAAGCCACATGGTGCATCTTTGATCGCAAAAACTAGATACAGAGCCACTACAGTCTCTGAAAATGTTTTTCATTTTTCACCATAGTCTGGGCTTCTCACTCTTGCTGATAATAGCAGATTGTGATGCCCTAGTGCAGAATTAGTACAGCATATCAAGAGCTTCAGGAAAGTAGAGGAGAAATATAGGAGGTGGACCGGAAAATTGTTTGTTAGACCGTTGTTTAATGAAAATTTTTTAGCAGCATTGTTTTAAAGGGGATAAAATTTAGAGACCAAAAAGAAAATGTATCATACTGACAATGTGCTTTCCTCCGTTGTGATGTGAGAATGAATATGCCTTTTAAATTCCAATTTAAATTCCTGACTTTGACACTTCATTCAGACTTTGAGAATTTGAGACAGAACTGCAATTCGAATTTGAATTTAATGAAACAGAATTACATTTTAGACAAACTTAATGTAGAATGTTGGATTAATAAAGCAGTGTTTTTAGTTTAACAAAAAAAAAATTCAAAAGGGTTTAGGCTTTACAAGCAGACAGGATGATAGAACAATTTTACATTTAAACTTATTTTAATTTTTAGGAAAATAAAGCGATTCATCCTAAGGAGGCTGAGGAGAACAGGCTATAAAAGTAAGAAATTGTGAAAAATAAAGAGAACTATCCATTAAAACAACTTTTGGAATAGTCACTTAAAAAGTTGTTTTTAGGGTTCTGTGAGAAGTTTCTGGTTGTTGAATCATCCAAGCAGATGTTAAGGTCCAGACGTCGTCTCACTATAGGACCTACCAGGCGACTGAAAGCTGGTTAAAACTGCCTCAGAAAGGCTGGATTGATGGGCTGTGATACAGACTCCACGAAAGCTCTCAGAGGAGATATGGAGATGAGAAACCAGACATGGAGCAATGACTTAATAATCATCTTACCTGCTCCTAGGCCTGGGATATTTGCTTTATACAAGTTAAATAAGGACCGTGCTGAACTCATTAGGACTGTCTAAAAGCTGACACGTGCTTTAACATAATTTTTTTTCTTTCTTCGTTCCACCGCTCATCTGGAAAATCAATGAAAGATATCAGGCTGTAAATAACTGTCCGGATACAGGGGGGCAATTTGTCAACTGGGTTTCAGTGGGAACTCAAACACAAGGGAGAGGAAAAGGAAAGAGACACTCAGTAAAGAACAATATGATCTTCAACTTACTATATTTCTTGCTTCAGTTCTGTGATAAAATAAAATAAATCTGGTGAATATTTGAGGGAGGCATGCAATTTTACTACTTACAGTATTTGTTCTGTAGCAATGACATTTCTTTGGGGCAAGCCTTTTCTGTTTAACCTTCTCGGATTGGTTTGAATTGACAGCGCTTGGCAGACTTTGACTACAGAGAAAAAAGGCAAGTTCCTAAGGGAATACTCTAGAGCAAAAGCTCAAAAGCCCCACTTTAGAGGGAGACTTTACTTGTAATAGCTGTGCAGTGGTTCATCTGCCAAGAGCTTAAAGGATCATTAAGTACTATCAGCTTTCTTGCCCTAAAATGTGAAAGATAGTCAACTCAGTATATCTGAACTGGGAAGTAGTACTCAAGAGTGTCAGCAGTTTAAAAGTGATCAGGAGCAATTCTCTAGTGTGACATGCACAAATGAGACATAATATGAGACCTTGATAACAAGGAGCATCCTTGAATCCTCTTGGCAAGACAATGGATATTTTTTTAAAAGGAAGTAGTATGCAGTATGTATACTGTGCGCAGTATGTGCATGAAATTACCTACTAGATTTGTACTTTCAGTTTCACATACTATTTTTTTAAAAAGTAACTGTATAC